CCTGAGAAAATGTAACAAACTCAAGAGAAAAGTGTATCAAAAAGGCATCGGTTAGAGTGGAAACACTGCATGCAAACAGTGGATCGGCTTCAGAAGTGGAATCAGTTCATGCTTATATAAAGTGTTGCACTTTTTAACAATAGATTTTGGTAGGAAAATGTGATCTATTTCAGAGTTCCCTTCATTGACAGGCTGCACAAACTATCCCCTTCTAAAGCCACAGAAAGATATATACAACTCCTAAATTCTATCAAATGCACATCCGTCGTTAGTCAGCCATCATTTGCTCAGAAGGCATCAGGCTTTTTATGATCTCGTCAAATGTCCTTCACTTTCACGCCACAGGTCTTCTTGTTTCCCGCCTCCTTTAAGGGTGTCTGCGTCTCTGCTTTTTCCTCCGAATCTGTCCCTCAGCTCAGGAACTGCGTGTATCCCTCGGCGCCCGTCACTATGACATCCATCCAGATCCTCATGGCCTCCGGGGACGGGGCCACCATGTAGTACAGGCGGTCGTGGGTTTTAACGCAGAAGGTCAGAGACGGGTTGGGGCTCTGGAGGATCACAAGAAAGAGGGGGAGACGTTTTAGACTCACCTGCACCTGTTGCATCTTTTCCCTCCGAGACGTTTGTTATAAACAACAACGTTTTTTAACAGCATTTGCTAACAGCTTAAAAAAGACGGTAACATCCTGCATCTTAACAATTCAACACTATACTATTAAGAAGAAGAAAAATATCTACTTTATCCAGTCTAATATATTACACATCTCTATATTAAAATGGCACAACATTGAAAACAATCATATTTCTTTAATAACACAGACATCCATTTTGTCATTTTAATTATATTTCTTACAATATTTTCACAGTTAAAATAATTTGTGTGAGTGCAAACATTTTTTTTTTTTTTTAAATGACCTTTTAATAGAAATCATATATATATAATAATACAACTAATAACAATCTTAATTAGACAAATAATAGTAGTAGTAATAATACAAAAAACTGTTAAAATTAGATTAATTATGGTCAAATGTTTTAATTGAGCCCTTTGGATTGAATATGATATTATTAATTGATACATTTAAATAACAGTTAAACATCCATGCAAAACGGATGAAGGTCTGAGTTATGCATAATGGAAAAAAGAGCGTGTTACCTTGGTGGCACTGCGCAGGTGATCATAATACACCTCTTCAATGGCCTGGAAGTAAATGAGTCCTTTCAGCTTGGTCTCATGCTTGTCTGAGAGGAGGAAAAGAAACATATTAAGAAACATTTCATTACGCCTCGTACTGATGCAACACCTCTGACAGCCGAGTGTAACCGACCGGTGAGGATCGTTTTATATCTGTCTTTGGTCAAGCGAAAAAACTAATACAACAGACCTGTAGAGAAATACGGGAGATAAATGAGTAAAATATATTTCATTTGAAAAGATTCCATCGCAGGAAATGTGGCCTTTTTAAATTACACTTTAGCTTTCCATCTCTGAAATAATCTGCAAAAACAATATATTTCAATTAAAACGTTTCAGGGGCTTCAATAGATATCTTTGTCAAACAGTGCAAAAATAAAAATAAATAAATTGTAATTATTTTATATACGATGAGGCTTTTTCTATAATTACTAACTAAGGCAAAACAGATTTTCCTTTTATACACATTTGAACTAATTGCAGGTATATTTGGCACTTGTTTGTTGTGACTTTATTCAATTACCTTAAAGAGGAAATGTGTATTGCTTAATAACAATCTTTTTATTCTTGTTAGTTTCCTCATCAGAGCAGTTTGTAACTTGGTGAAACAGAGGAACACTAAGTTAGATGGAGAAATCCAACAAACATCTGTAACGCATTGAGGTGTTAACTCTTTTTCCCAGCAACACATATTCCATGAATAGGTATGAGCAGCAAGTACAAGTTAATTAAAAGCGCAAGTCTATTTCAAGCTATGCCCGAAGTCTTTACCAACCCATTAATCTGACTTGTTTTCTACCGTCGTACTTTCCGGATCGTCTCTGTTTTTTTTGTTCCTGCTGGCGAGGTTCACAACTTGAGATCTTTTTGTGAAACTTAAAAGAAATGTCTCTCTCTTGTGAAGCAGATCTGTTGAACATTTCCCTTAAAGCAGGTCAAGCCTTCTGTCCAGTGCTTTTCTTTATTCACAGAATATCTCTGAGCATTTGAAAGTCACTTCACACTGAAACCTGCGGAGGAAGCTCATCTAACACACTCGCTGGACTGATGGGTTTCTTTAGTTTGGGGCTAAACTGTAGGCTCTTCTCACGTCTCAATTTTCTTCAAATAAAATGAGTTCAAAGAATTTCCGGATTCCAACCTTGTTCAAATAAACGCTATAATTCTTTATTTTTTTTGCGCCTTCGTTGCACACTGGGGCGTCCGGCTGTAAAAAATAAAAAGTCAAACAACAATTAAAAGCAGTCTTTTGAAATCTGTCAGACGCTTTCTCTTGCTTTCCCCCTTTTACAAAAGTCAAATCTGCTTAGTAATGAGATAAATGTTTTTGAAATGTGAGTTTCGTTTTATTAGTCACGAACAAGCCAGAAGCTAGCCTCCTCCCCAAGAAAAACACATCTAGAGAAACTATTGCATCTTATTTCATCACCATCATCACCATCATCTTCGTCAGGAGTAAGGGGGTGAAAAGGCTAGGCAAGTGAGGGGAGAGAGGGAGAGGAGCGAGGAGAACGGGGGGCGACAGTAATGAAAATATCCTCAGATTCTCTTTTTGTACTTGATTGTAAAATCATTTCCCCCAAAAACACGCTCATGAATTATTCAGAAAACTAACTGTTCACGTTTTCAAATTCAGGGGACAGTGTGATAGATGGGAATTACAAACTGACTTTTAACACACAAGACCAAGGCAAAATCCCACTTAGTGCAGCTTTAATTAGTGTTTGGTTCCAGATGAACAAACGGCTGTCGGGACAGAAGTTTGGTTTTCATTGAAAAACCGAGCGCATGATAAGTTTACATTTGACAGAAGAGCCCCGGCGCTGCTTTCGGCAGAACTGAATAAATCCGATCCTGGCCTGCCGTTAGGAAACTTTCCAACATGAAGATCTGAGTTATTATGGAGGATACCAAATATGAGACGATTCTTATGTGAGCAAATTGGTTTGACCCCACTGTGTGTTGTGTGAACAAGGCCTTAAAATGAGACTAATGGCGCATTTCCACTGCAGGGCCTCGCTCGGCTTAGTACGGTATGGTTAGGCCTTGGTAGGCCAGGCTCACTTTATGCTGCGTTTCCATTACAGTTTAGTAGCTGGGGCAGTAACTATAGTAACGCAGTGTAGGCGGAGCCGTGGCGTCATCTTCAATGCGAACCACAAAACCAACATCAGCCGTTAGCTGTTAGCCCTCAGAGCTCACAGCTCCTCATATCTGTTCAGAAACTAGACAAAAGTTAAACAAGTACAAACCACAGACTGTCTGTGTCATGGAGAATACAGTCGCTGGTTTATTTATGTCTGTATAGGTCGTTGTTGTGAGTGTGGACGGTCGGAGCATATACTGCGTTAGCTTAGCTGATCTCCATTCAGAAAACACACATTTTAAAAGGTTTTTGCCTTGTCAAAGCATTAATTCATGGTTTTTACTAACCGGTATCAGTATGTTGTTACTTCGGCATCATTTTGAAACCTGTATTACAATTAAATCACGGTAAAATATGTTCATCTTGTTGTAGTTGTATCCCCCTTGACAGCGATTCTCTCACTAGTTTAGCATATTCAGCCCGGTTGTTGGCCCGGAAAGAACCACGATTTTAGAGGGCCGGAANCCCACCACAGCTCAGTGGAAATGTTGACGTTTATTTGATCCTTTCAGTAAAAACTACTTTCAATATTCTCTCTTTTTGATTATAATACTGATGAACGTTCAAAACAAAGCACTTTGGCAACTTACCACATACGTTTTAAAATGCTTAATAAGCACCGTAACTTTCATGATATCATTTCTCCGTCATAATCGGTTGTTTCCGTGAACGGCCGACTGTTGTGTGACGGCAAATGCTGCGGCCGCAAGGCATTGTGGGGCAGCATTTTCTCCTCTCCTTTCGGTGAGGGAGGTCCAGTGGTTCCTAAGCTAAAGGAGGTTATAAAGGAACTTTGAAACCTCCTTTCCTATCATGTACAGAATTCGAACGGCTCTTATCATGGCTGCCACTGAGGGACTTCCGAGTCATTTCACTCCGTTAGGAAGGTTCCTAAGCTAAATGGACTATTCGACTGCAGCCATGGTTTGTTGGTTTTCGTTTTAACAGGACAAAACTACTGGCCAGTTTATGCAAAGTATTGAGCCATTGCATTTTTGGTGTACAAATTATTTATCACTTATTGAAATGGCCTTGGCGAGGACTGTGCGCCCCGAGTATCCTTCTTATTCTGAGGGATTGCATTTGCATTCTCATAATTACTTTAAAAAAATAGTTTGATGAGGTGTATTTGTTGGTTAGTTGCGATATTTTTAATTTCCTGTGTATTGTTTATTTAAAGTACCAGGTGTGTTCATCTGCTTTTACTATTTCGCCCCTGATGAAGACCCTGTGATGTAGAATCGCTCAGTGTTTTAACCTATATACCGGACTGTGTGTGTGTGTGATGTTATCCCTTTTTTATCTTCAAGGGCACCTTAAGGTTCCCTCGACTTATTGTATGTGAAACTGATGAAGCACCTGTTTTTCTTTCTATGCAAATGTTGAACTTTGGCTGCTTATTTTTCCAGAACAAGTACCACCTGTATTTCCATAGAGAAAGGATAGGCTCTTTGTTAAGACTTCCAGAGTGAGGAATGCTCAACAAACAAGAAACCAGTAATGATGAAACATTCCTTATTTCATGATAACATTCATTGTATCCTCACCCCCATAATAACAGAAGTTCCTCTTGACGCGGTCAAAAACGAACCAGCGTTTCTTCCAAGATTTAATTTTGCCGCCCATCTTCACCAGGTGGCCCTTGCACATCTTCTCCGTGAGGATGACGTAGGGGCAGATGTCGACGCTGTGGCCCGACGACTCCACGTGCGCTCGCAGGTCAAACTCCTCCTTCCTGTTCGGAAGGTAGCGCGTCATTGGACGAGCCTGCAGAGGAAATATATAAGAGATCATGTGCAGTGAGTTGGTCAATAGTGAAATGGAACACGTGGCGATCAGGACAGCTGAGATTCAAGATTCAAATGTTTCATTGTCATATGCACTAAGCTACAGAGTAGAAATGGCAATGAAATTCTTCTGACCTGAGCTCCTCCAACAAAGCAACATATAATGAAATACAAAATAAAAAGTAGTGCAAAATGTCTGTCGGACAAGTCAATGGAAAGATGCACTTGTCCGATGTTGTAAATAACAAATCCCGGACGATCGGACGTGTGCTTTTTCGCACACTGGCCTTCCTCAAATATATATTTATATTTTCAAAACGATTCCATGGTTATTTCTGATGGAGAAAACGTATTTCTGCCGATTGATATGACTCCCTTGATCATCCTTAGCAACGGTCTGTTCTCCTTAGCAACGGTGTAATAGTGCAAAAATAAACAATCTCTGGAATGCCCAAATTGACCAATCAGAATAGAGTATTCGACTAAGACTTGCATTCATTCATATAGCTTGAATACTGCTGTCCAAGTGCAGTGAGGACAGTGTGTATACATCCATTCGGGGTATTTTTTTGTAAACAATACTGGTTTTATTTGGTCTTTATCCTTTGGGAAACATTTGGATATTCAGCTTCCTAATCCTCCTCTAGAGATAGCTGCCAACAGTTCCCTCCTGCTGTTCAGTGCTGAGCAGGTTTTGCTCAGAGGGCTTAAACAGTAGGAGAAACAGCTGCCTGCCTAAAAACGTTCGGGCTGAGGATCATACCATGTGGATAATGCTACTACCAGCGACCCCGTTCACATTACATTACATGTTATGAATAATTCCAATATGTAAGAAAAATAGGATTATAGTAGCTTTAAAAAGCTGAACTAGGTGCCTTTGTACTTGTTGATTTGAGGATGTTTGTTTACTCAGCATTCACACAAAAGGCAACTGATAATGAAACACACTTTGTAAAGATTAAAGCTTTAATTATGTGTACATTATATTATTTTGTGCTCCCCCACCTTCCTCTGTTCTCCTCTTCCTCCTCCCTCCTATTCTTTTCCTTCCTGACAAACTTTGATCTTCCCGTATTCCCAGCCTCTCTTCAGCGTCTCGCCTCTCATCCTCCCCCTAAGTCTCCTTTCCTCCTCCTCCTCCTCTCCCCTAAGTCTCCTTTCCTCCTCCTCCTCCCCCTCCTCTCCCCTAAGTCTCCTTTCTCCTCCTCCTTCTCTCCCATAAGTCTCCTTTCCTCCTCCTCATCCTCTCCCCTAAGTCTCCTTTCCTCCCTCCTCTCCCCTAAGTCTCCTTTCCTCCTCCTCCTCCCCCTCCTCTCCCCTAAGTCTCCTTTCTCCTGCTCCTTCTCTCCCATAAGTCTCCTTTCCTCCTCCTCCTCTCCCCTAAGTCTCCTCTCCCCTAAGTCTCCTTTCCTCCTCCCCCCTAAGTCTCCTTTCCTCCTCCTCTCCCCTAAGTCTCCTTTCCTCCCCTCCTCTCCCCTAAGTCTCCTTTCCTCCTCCTCCTCCTCCTCCACGTACCTGTGAGAAGTGTTTCTCTCTCATCTTCACCTCCTCCTCCACCAGCCTCAGCCTGTGGGTGGTCTCGTCCTGCAGCCTCCTCTCGGCCTCTTCTCTCCTCCTCCGCTCCTCCTCCAACATCTGCCGCCGCGCCTGCACCTCCCTCTCCTGGGAGCGTGGGGAGAGGAGGAAGAGGAACAGATGGGGAGGGGAGAAGAGAACATAAGGGAGACGGGGAAATGTGTAAATGGTAGGCAAATATTGCAAAACAAAGCGAGCGAGTGTCGGGGGAGAATTTCCCAATGCAGGGTTTTGTCAAATATATCCCTTCAGTTTGTATAAAAGAGCGAGCTTTGCTGATGCAAAATGATCCTTTGCTGCTTTCAGATACTTGCATGCTTTGCTTCAACATGTGGAATAACACAAAGGTAAACAAAGTACTTACAACACCACACCTCGAGCTGAGTGACAAACTCATGAAAGAGGAGAAACTCGGGTCTCCTGCGACCATTTGAAGATATTGCTCATAACTCTCAGGGGAGTTGCTTTGTTTGGTTCTGATATGATCATAACTTGTCATTCTTTCACCAAATCTGTCGTAAAAATTCACGATTCAGACACAAATATATCACACATAGAAGCAGCAAGTCTGAACTTGAAACGCTTTTGGCCTTTTTGCTTTAAATTTGATTAAATCATGAAAAAACATAGGTTTAATAAGTTAAGGCTTTTACCTTTTCCAATACGTTTGCTTTGGATTGTCACTTTTTAAAGAATTCTCATTGATGTATTTCATGGTTTTCTGTTCGTATTTTTTGGTGTTGAATGTGCTCGTTCATTTTCAAAAATTATATTTATATTGATTGACCATTGGCGGAAGTGATAACTGAGGTTAAATTGTGGCTCTGACACTCACTCGGGCTTTCTCCTGCTGAAACCAGCTCGAGTGCGCTATCATTTGAAAGTACGCAGCCTTCAGACTTCCTTACAGAGCCCCTCCTCCAACACACACGAACGCGCACATGACCAATGAGGGCACGAGATAAGTTTGTGCACAGATGGAAGGCTGACAGGCAGGTAGGCCATCCAGTTATTTTAGCCGGGCCGGCTCAGATGATTGGTCGTGCTTTTTACAGCGCCACGGCTTCCACAGATGATATTTTATTAATGTATTTATTGTCAAAGCATTTAATATATTCATTGCTATCGGGATGTTAAGAGCATTCCATGGAATATAACAACAAGTGTTTCTGAAGTGAATGACCTACCCCACCTTTAAGATACATTTATTTCTCTCATTGATGTATTTCATGGTTTTCTGTTCGTATTTTTTGGTGTAGAATGTGCTCGTTCATGTTCAAAAAGTATATTTATATTGATTGACCATTTGAGTAATTGACCTTAATCCCTGGAGGAAGTGATGACTGAGGTTAAACTGTGGCTCTGACACTCACTCGGTTCTCCATCAGTCTAGCTTTCTCCTGCTGCGCCTCCTTCAGCATCTTCTCCATCTCCTCTATCCTCTGGGCCTCCATCCCACAGGCACTGAAACACAGAGGGTCTGATGACACGTCTGCAACAAGTCTCAGGATGAAACAAAGTAAACAGACGCGCCTGGAAACCAAACACTGACAGCAGCGGGAGACAAAGGTTTCTCTCTAGCGAGGCTTTGAACTCGTAGCTTCATCAAACACTGGGAAAAAACTTGAGGCGGTTGGCATGGCAACAGCCGGCGTACTGCTGGTAGACAGGGGGAGCAGACGTGTAACAAAACATGTTGTCACGGGAACAAAGCGCAGTGACCCTTCTCCTGGGAGACGGGGCAGACTTGAGTGTTCCCATGGAAACAGAGCCAGTTCTCTCACCTTTCTGGGGTACAGGCGGAGTTGCCGGTGGAGACGCTGGTCTCCATGCTGTCGGAGCTCTCCAGGCTCAGGGTGTCGTACGCCTGGCTACCGCTGGGGGGCGCCTGGTGGTGCAGGATGGAGTGATGCATTGTGGGAGATATATCTGTGGGAGAGGAGGCAGCTGTCACAGACTTACAGTGCCCTCTGCTGACAGAGAGTGTTATGAGACTCTTCATTAGGTCGTATTGGGACTCAACCTGGATTAATTGTGTTTTTCTAGATGCAAACAAATCAATACATGGGGTTACAAATTAAATAAGTCAGGCTGTACACGGCCTGCCATACAGTCTTATTTATTTGTTATTATTTCACATGATAGGCTCAGAGTAAATTGCTTTTGTTTGCGTAAACTAGAGGGGAATAACTCACACCAGAGTAATTTTGGTGAGATTATAACCATCCTGACCAAAGTTACAGAGGGGTCGCCAAATCCGGCAGCCATAAACCTAGCTCTTGCATATTTAGAAAGCCTTTTAAGTTAACAGTGAGTCTTGCAACCTTATTATTTAGATTAATTTTGTATTAACAAACTCCAGTGGGAAATATCTGGCTTTTTAGCTGCTTAATGCTCCTCTCCTCTCTTGGTGCTGAGCAGGTGGTGTACAGAGAGCATGTAACGCTTATATGAGAAAAACAGCTGCCAACTCAGCAGCACCAAAATAAAAATCTAAAAGTCACTTCAATTCCACTATACCAGAGGCCTAAGTGTGCTAAATAGATTCCATACCTTTGTTCTGCAGCGCCATCTGCCTCCTGGACTCCATGTCTAAGGGGTTCGACAGCATTAACTGCAGCCCCTGAAAAACACATAGAATCAGGGTGTATGCAGGAAGACCTTTTTTAAGACCCTTTCCATACATTTTAAGACCTTTTCTAAGACCCTCTCCATACATTTTAAGACCTCATCGCCACTTCAAATTTTAACCGGTTACATTGGCGACACACTTGACCTCACATTGACTATATACAGTATTGATTGTCCTTCCTCCTTATCTTCCAACCATTTGGACGAAGACTTGCATTTCCCCATAACGATGTTGCTTAGCAACCGGCGTAAACGGACCTTCGCGCGCTATCAAGCAGTGAGCGTGCGATGTCCTGTTCAGATGACGTCAAATCCAACGGGATGCCATAAATAAACTACACAGAATCACACTACACACCTACGCACTGATTACATTCAGGCAGACTGTAGAATACAACCTCTTTGGACCATTTATATACTTATTGAAAACAAGCTACAAAATGTAATACCTTGGAAAATGCGGTTTAATACTTTTTAATAGCCTTCATTTTCGCTAAATTTATTTATCAACTTTGAATACTTTTTAAGACCCCGCGGACACCCTGTAGGCAGTTTTCACACAGACCGACCGTATGCACTGTGTCCCACATGAAGTTGGCATTTTTTCTCTAAACTAGCAGGAAGTTAGCCTGTTATGATATTTCAGCACTTCCTTCCACT